CGATGGAGTCCATCTGAACCTGCCTGGGCGCCGACATGTCTCTGAAAGCCTCAGTTGCACAAGCAATGCTGCAGTGTTGGCGTGCTGCTTGCGGTCTGTTGCAGCAAGAGGCGAGGTACTTGGATACCAGGATAACGCTTTGTGTTAATGAGGGTATGCCGAAAGGTACAGACTGCTGAATCCAAGGAACCGAGAGCGAAGGCTGCAACGCTTGGCAAAGAGATCCGCTCTTGAGCCGCAAAGTGTAAAGCATGTCTCCACACAGTTTCAGACGCTCATCGCTACCAAGAAGAACCAGAACAGCTTGGCCTCCTTCAATAGACTGGCACTTTGCTGGCAACATCAGTTGCATACATAATGCACACCTTCTGGTGCAGGTCAGTAGGGAATAAGGGACTACAATTCCTATATAACACCTATATAACTATATACTAGGTTTTCCTTATTCCCTACTAACCCCTAGTAAGTCGTACCGAATCATGTGCGCGATTTCATGTCATGGCAGCTTGAGTCGAATCTGGCCTGCGGCACGCCATGAAAAAACTCTCCGATTCCATGGCCCACCAAGGTCTTCACAATGCCAAAGCCTTTCGAGTTCAGCGTGTAGGGACGTACACATTTTTGCATGTATTTCTGATTGGGCACATGGGATTCTTGTCTCATGGGTTCCCCTCTATACCTCTCTAAAAAAATACCCCTTAATTACAATAGCTCTAATTAGCCCTAACAATCCTTAAAAAGCCCTCATTCAGGGGAAAAGCCGGGTGTAATCTCGCCAGCTACCCTCAAAAGGCTGCAAGAGAGCCCGGGTGTTGAGGAACCCATGATTGTCGGGTTTTCAGGGCATGGTAGTTTCCCTATAAGGGGGCCCCGATATAGACCCTAAAATGCATTAGTCCTTTTTGTGGGGGCCCCACAAAGGTGCCCCTAATTGTGGGAAACCCTTACTAAGCCCTGAACCTTAAACCCTAAACCTTATATAACGGTATGTAACACCTACTCCGATTTTCAAGGGACCCCGAAGTGTGGGACACCCTCATATTGCGTTGTCTTGTCAGCTGGGAAAGGAGGTCCACCTGACTCAGGAGCGAAGAAACGCTAATCTGCGTTGCCGCTAAATATCTTACACAAAGCTACCCTAATTTGGGGGGTATACAGTAAATGTACTGTAGAGTTTCTTTCAAGTTCTTGAACAGCACCCCTGTAATCAGCTCCTCAAAGTCTCATGCCAAAGCCTTCGCGCTCCGCAATGTCGGCCACCTGTCGCCAACAAACGGAGAACGCAGTTCACTGCATGATTGCAATCGGAACTGCTGTTGCGACCGCAGTCCAACATTCTATATAGGTGCTACTTTATACTGCTGCTGCTGCTGCGGCGGCGGCGACGACTACGACGACGACTGCTACTACTAGATATGCTTATTTCCATCTTTCTTTTCACCGTTCCGGCTACTACTACTGTCCGTCCGTGTCCACCTATGCTGATGCTTTCGTCTTCAGAACGATGATGTTCGCTTAGAGCTTCATGGGTTGTTGCCAATGGGGGTATAAGGGCTTGGGGTTTTAGTAGGGTTTGGAGCTATAAGTATGATCTCTGCAATCCTTACTCTGTTCAGGGTGCTGTCGCCCTGCACATTGCCCTTACGGGTAAACTCCACATAATCCCCGAAACTCCACTAGAAACTATGCACCTTCAAGCGTCATTTGGGTTTTCCGTAGAAAACGGGGCCTTGATATAGACCCCAATTAGAGATCACCGCCCCACGAAGCGACATCCAAGTTCTGCAAACCGTATTACCATTTCATTTGTCCATTGTTTTTTCCGTTTGGTTCTCCATAATTGGGAGATATTTGGGGTGTATATACGCAGACCCTACATAACCCGATATTACCCTACATATTCCCTGTATAACCCTGGAAATCCCCACGTCCGCTGCAGCCAAAGCTAAGTAACTGACTGCTTCTCCGATGGCTTTCAACGGGGCTGCAGGACGGCATACTGCAATGGCTGCATCCAAGGCCTGCCGATAGATTCAAAGCAAGATCTGTGCGGCTTGGGATTGGGGAGTCCCTTTAAAGGGGCTACAGATGTTATCTATGGTTTTACTATACAGGGATCCGTGAGGTTTATGGACGAGAGACTTTGGGGTTCTTCTTTCTACAGGTGCTCTGCTCTCAAGTTGTAGGCTGGGGGCTGTTCATCATGGAGAAGGCTTCTGCACCATAGAAGGACCTACATCTACTCGATTTAATTATGCACTATTTCCAACAAATATGAACTTGGAAAGGAAAACCAGGAAAACCTACAAAAGCCACTGCTCAGTAAACATGTGGTTCTTCAGATCCTGCCAAGCCATACAGAGGCTACGGGGAGAAGACGGGGCAACAAAACTCGACACTAGATGGGGAGGACTCTGAAGGAGAATGTCCCTTCCTACACACTAAACTCTCCCAAGCTAACATGTAACCTGAAAAAGGGGCCCTTGCACGCGACTGTCATTAAAAAGGGTGTTGTAAGGTGGGGGTAGACCCGCATCTGGGGCTGAGTGGAATCTCCACCTGTTCTTATCCTAGCTCTGGGCTCATCCTAAACTTTTAAAAAAGTCCAGGGTTGAGGGTTTAGGGTTATGAGTGCTTAAGGGGGGAGTGGGGAAGTGAATCCCGCTAATAATCCTCTTCTAATCCCCCTAAACCCTAAACTTATCTCCATATTCACCCCCCCCCTGCCTCAGAACAGTAAAGCCCTCAGCCGTGGATCTCCTACCCCAGCCCCTGAACAACTATAGAACTTAACACTCTATACCCTAAACCCTAAAAGGCTAGACTCTGAACCGTGACGCCCAAAACCCCAAAAACCTCATGGTTTAGGGTTTAGGTATGGTATGCCTATACATGGGCCATAATCTCCTTCAGGGGCGTTCTAAGGGATTATAGGGGATTACTATAGGGGTTATTAAGGAGGATACTAGGAATTTTGACCTTTGCTCATATAACCCCTATATGTCCATGTATAACCCTCATATAACCCTTTGCGGGGGCCCGGTTTCGGAGTCCTCCCGGGTTGCTGCTACGAGGCGACCGCCTCACGAAGCTGCGCGGGCCAAAGCGCTACGTTGGGAAGTGTTTAAAAGGTGCTATAACAGGTCATAAGGACATGTATGTATGACAATATATGCAAACATACACAAGGTCTAGGGATTGAGGGTTCAGGGTTGCTCAACACCGGGAACCCTTAGAGACCCTTGGGGCAAATAAGGATAACAAAGGATTCGGGGGTACCTCTTCTGGATCTGTCAGGGAATGCTATTAGAAGCCCGTAAACCCAGAACCCTCGGAATTTGGCCATTTGCCATCTCGTAGGCTAACGTTAAATCTCCCAAAAAACACTGAAAACAAATCACTGTCAATATGAAATTCCATGCTTGTTTTCGGGTGTAGGGTTTAGGGATGCGCATGACACCCAATCCGGGCAACGGTCTGGGGTTGCTGCCGCAGGCCATGGCCCTGGGTTCAGCCTGGAGCGGATGCCAGTGCCGCCGACCCTGTATCATTGGACCTCCGCTTCTCCAAGGGGTCTTCCCCGACCCCGCTCCAAAACTAAGCCGAAATTGGCATGCGGTTTTGAAGCGAATCCCCCGCTACGGAAGAATTGTTGAGGGTCCGCGGGGACCCCCCTAAAAAGCATCATGAGCACAGAGGTTTTGAACACTTGCCCCGTCCAGGCACCAATTTTTGCAGGTTGGAGGGGGTGCTGGCAGACCTTGGACTGGAAAAACGAGCCCCCAATGATGCTGATGATGCTGGCCCCTTGTGCCAGCATCATCAGCCTCATTGGGGGCTCGTTTCTCCATGAATGGGTCCGGGGGGAAATTCTTGCCTGCGTTGCCCGCTCCTGGGCACAGCCCCTTAAACAATAAAGTACTGATGTATATACATATATAATATACACCGTGCACAAACCCTTTGAAGTACCCATATGTAACCCTGTATAACCCTTTAAAGTATCCATGTATATATGTATATTTTGAGAGAGAGAGAGAGAGAGAGTGAGAGAGCGAGAGAGAGTGTGAGGGAGAGAGGTTTTAGAGTCAGGGTGTAATGAGGTTTTCAGGACTAAGAAAGTTTTTGGATGATTTCGTGGTTAAGATGTTTTCAAGATTCATGACTTTTGGGTAGGGTTTGGAGCCTCGCAATAGGATATCCCTTCGAATCTTAGCCATACCTAGAGATTTCTGACCCCCCTCTTCTCAAGGTGCTAAGATCCTTCGAATCCTCATCAGTCAAATTTGAAGCGCGCCCTAAGAATTTTTCCTCCTCCCTGTAGGGTTGAGGGCCGCCCCATGCATCCGCCACACACTCTCAACATACCCCTGCAGCCCCTTTACTTCTGCTCCCCCTAAACCCTCAGCGCTACATTTCAAACGCCAAGCCCTAGACCCCTGAATCCTGAAACCCGACACCCTAAATCAAAATCCCTAAACCCTAAACCCTAAATCCTAAACCCTACATGCTCAACCCTAGATGCTGAAACCCTGCAAGCCGGGCCTGCTTCATCTTCCTCACCACACATCCACGTGCGCGCGGTGTCTGCATGGAAGCCGTGTCGGTACAAGGTCACATCTACCTGGGCAAGCCCTATTGTAATAAGATCCCCACATACCCCATATTCTATCTACTGAAGGGGGACTATACCCTAAACCCTAAACCCTAAACCCCCAACATAACCCCATGTTCTATCTACTTAAGGGGGACAATACCCAGTAGAGTAAAGGAGAGTACAGTTTGGAATAGGTTGTTATAAGCGCTTGCTGCTTGCTGGCTCTAGTCTAAACTTATCCTGAAACCTAAGATTCGGTACAGTTTAGGGTTTAGGGTTTAGGGGTCTCCAGGTAAGAACTAGGTCTAAACCTTCTAGGGTCGGTTTAGGTTTTACCGTTTAGGTATAATTTTGTGATACGAAGGATCATGACGGGCGTTAAGTGTTGCTGGGCTTTGGCATGGCTGCACGAAATTCCTGTGGGGATCCACATGACGATGGCGATCAGGTCCGGCAGAACTTACAAATGTAGGATTCTTCGAGGGGCAATATCAAACACCCTCTATGAATGTACAGTTCTAGCTTTTGGAGCAAGAAGCATAACTATGCGCTTGAGTCTTGTCATTTGCCAACACTGAGCATGTGAACTTTGTCCACCCTGCTTCATGCAGGGGTTTGAGCAATTTGACAAAGCGCTGGCTTCGAGCTTCAACATTCCGAATACATTACTGAGAAATACGCGTTTTGAAGTGCCAGATTCTCGCATTTTGACTACTTACCCAAAAACACATGTTCTCGAACCTGCAGCCGGGATCCTAAACCCATCCTAAACCCTCAAATTCCACCCAGCCCAAGCTCTCGTCCATATCACAAACTTCGTAAACTTTTCTTTGTCCATGAGCTTTATATGAGGCCCCCTTTTTCCAGTCGTAACGTCCGAAACCGTGGAAAGCAATGGGCAAGGAACGCAGTACTGGTCAAACCTTTGAAAAACTCTGCAACAGCCTGCAATCCTGGCAAAAACTCATATTAATGCGAGTCTCCCTCCCAAAAAAGGAGTCCGGTGTCATAGTTCCCGGCAAAAGCACGGTCACCAGATTCATGCTGAATCCAAGATCCTACCTAAATCCTAACCCAGACCCCTGATTAATAAACCCCCTCCCCTTAATAGGGGTTATAATGGGGATCCTAATATTAAGGCCCCTACAAGGAAGGGGTTTTATTAATCATGGGTCTGCATTAGTCCAAACCCTGAACTTGACTTCCTCGATTGCAATTTTGAGACCTGGCTGCTCAGCTCACTGTAGGAGCCAATCTAAAAGTTTGATATGTTGCCTTCCTAATCTAGGTAGTAGGAAACCCCTAAGCCCTCAAACCCTAAACCCTAAAAAAGACAGGCTGAAAACAGTCAAGGCTGCGTTCACCAAATCACCATCCTCTAGAGGGCGGCTATCGGGAATGCCATGGCAAATCACCTCAGCATGTGGCCATGGCAATCTTTGCCCCAACGCTGGGAAGTGAGTAGGATAGGGTTTTGCCGCACATTTGCGGGAGAGTCGTGGACGTGCATCAAGACATATCAAGACCGCAATATAAGCAATCCTTCAGCTTTCTACCTTACTAGCCCCTGTGCCCACGAGCCAAATACGCTTGCGCCAGCACCTCACTGCTTAAAATTGTTGCAGGTTGAGTTGCCCCTTTGCTTACATGCTTGAAGGCTTCTGCGGATATCAGTCTTCATACCTTCCAAATGTGAGCAGCCTTCTTTTAGGCGTCATCATTGCTACCGCAGACACACTAAGAACTGGTGTTCAGTACTGATACTGTAAGCAGTTTAGGGTCTAGGGACCCCAAACCCCATCAACCCTAGGGCCCCTAAACTCGAAAGCCGAAAACTCTGTGTGCCTAAACAGGCAGAAGCCGAAGCCTGCCACACTTGCCGCCCGGAAGCCGAAACCCCAAACTCTGCACCTGCACCCTGTGTCCCCTTAAGCGGGATATAGGGTTTAGGGTTCGGGGTGTAGGCGTTTAGGGTGTAGGGATTAAGGGTGCAGGGACACATAGGGATCATAGAGGGACCCTGAAAAAAAGGAAACTACCATTTAGGGTGGAGGGTTTGGGGCAACAGTCCCTTCATAACCATATTAAGCACTCCCCTACCCCGGAAACAATTTTCAATAAAGAACTTCGCATTTTTGAGGAACACATTAAATCTTCGGGGTGGCGGGTATGAAGAAGTTAATTGAAATGCCAAGGTCGGAACTTCGTTGATGCTGATCATGACACTCCTGCATCATGGCTTGGGGCACATCGGAAAACTGAGCTCGTGTTTCTTACAGTCATGTAGCAGAGCTTGTCCACAATCAGCTCAAAATCTGTCCTAAACATAATCTAGGCTCTTGGGAAAGCCCTTGTACTGGAGATCGCTGGGGTAGGCTCCATGATCACAAATGAAGGTATGCAGCTCTTTGTCCATCTCCTCACTGGTTATGCCTGGACGAATCAGTTCTGCTGCCAAGTCCAGGGCGGAATGTGCCAGCTGCCCAGCTGAGCGCATCGCTTCAACATCGCTGTCGCTCTTGGGCTCAATGCGTGAGTTCCACCAGCCACGGACTTTGTCGGGATCAGCAACATAGGGAGGTGCAAGAATCCCCTCTGGCACTGGCTGTGCAGGCAGGATCTTACCTGGTACTGTCCACAAATAAAGGGGAACCCCAATACAAACCCCAAAATATACGAAAGGGACCCCATAAAAGTACTCCTTAATTTTGGAAAATCCCCACCTCTCTTCACTAAGTTTCTCGTAGCAAGTGCCTTCAAACAGGCTCTACGCGCACTCCTGGACTTCAAGGTAGAACATCCTGCGAGGACCACCGGAAAGCACCAAGGGACAACTCTTTGTTGTCCTAAGTTGCTGTTAAGGAACTTGAAGTAATTTGCCACAGGAGGGGTATACGGTAAATAACTTAGTTTCCCTATCCCTAAACCCTATGATAGTAACTCAAGGAACTCCTTAACAGCGAGCCAGTGTCCAGGTGAGCTCGGTGTGCGCGCGGTATTCCTCCTAAGCGTCTGCGGGAGAGGCAGGCTCTGAATGGAAGCCTGCACTCCAAGTTCCATGGCGGAGTTACTTAGATGGCGACATGTGACTTAAAAGCTACAGCTCAAGTTGCAGTTCTTCGTGGTCTATCTCTTTGCTGCTGTCCAGAGAAATGATTATAGTCCCCCTGAAGTAGGTAGAATATGGGTATACGGGGACCTTACTATAATATACCCAAAGCCATATTCTACCTACTTAAGGGGGACTAGGGACTCTTCATGGCCTGTGGCTTCCCCTTCAGCTCCACACTAACATGCTAACAAAACACGTCCATGCAACTTTGGCAGGTTTTTATTGGCAAGACCGAAACTCGGACTCTGAGACTCACTTGAAGGAAGAGGCTGTGCATCCCTTCATGCTGACTCAACTTGGGAGCTTCTGGGAGCTTCTGAAACAGGGAGGCCCCAGGAATATGTCGGGACTATCGTAGACCATAGGGGTCAGCCTAACTACAGGATGCCGCAAGGCATATTGTGAAAATCTTCAATTTCGCGGAAAGCGGGCTCTGAGTTCGCCAGCTCCTTTTTTCCTTTTGCCGTCATATGGCCTGTTCTCATGCAGGGGAACAACAGACCTTGCGCTCTTCCGACTCCATCCCATATTACTCCGATATAACCCTATATTATTAACCCCATATTACCCTATATAACCCCATATTACCC